ATGCTCTGTTTTTCCATGTTGGAATGCACCATGAACACAAAGACAACACCATCATCTCCTGCTGAAAGCAAGAGAGAGTCCTCAGCCGCGATGCGAAGTGCGATTATGTTACCAGCGTGAGCTGGAAATTCATAATAGTCGCGCAAAGATCCATCTTCAGCCGCGATCGTGGGCCAGTCGAATGCGCGGATTGCTCCGGAAGATGTCCCAGCGAATAAAAACTGCGAAGACGACGCGACAGCCAAAGCTGTAAATATCACTGGCAGGCTATTCGCTCCAGTATTGAGATCGCCACTATCTTCTGCATTTAATTTCAAATCCCGGGTCTGGGCAATGTCACCAGTTCCTACATTCCAGCAAACTTCCTTCAGGATCCCATCCGTGGACGCCCCGATCACACGGGCAGCCGAATGCGTACATGCTAGCCCATTGAACAGGCTCCCGCCTCGGGGTGGGATATGGGCGGCTATAGCGTGGTAAGGACTGGCATGATTTAGTTGGGAAGCCTCTTCGATGCGCGCCATATCGACAAGATCCCAACCATAGACGTTCCCATCTGCGCCGGCGGAGAAAAGTGAAAGATCATCACCTCCCCAGATGATACAGCGCACGGGCAGGAGGTGTCCCGTGAACGTCTGCAATTGTGCCATAGAAATCGCGGAGTAAATTATTACGGTAACGCCTGCGGCGCAAGCAAACTGATGACCGCCATGGGCATATCTAACCTCATGACATTTGATGAGCGGTAGCTCGTGAAGTAGCTTCAACGCCTGAAAAAGAACAGAAAAGAGACGCACGCGCTCGGGGAACCCAATTATTAATTGAAACCCTGATGGATGCAATGCAAGACAGCTAGGCTTATCACTTGACCAACCCTGACCTCCGCAGTGTACTAACTCACAGCGTCTTCGCGTGTAATTCCAGACACGCACCGTGTGATCAGCACCACAAGTCGCGATCAACGGGCGTTGCACACCAAGATCCATCGCCAGTATTGGACCATCGTGGGGCACCCCCCCCCCCGACACCAAGGGTGAGAAGTGTCCCCAA